ATACATAATTCTTAGAGATATTTCAACGTTTTTTTCCATACAAAAAAAATAGACAGTCATTTGTTCGATACGGTGTTCTATAACCACCTATGCCATCAAAGGGAATACTATAGTATTTGTAGTATTTTTTATCATCTCACATTCTATCTTAGGCTTGAGGATCCTTTTAAGCTATACACATATCCAATGACTTTGATAATGGCCTAGTCGGAGATTTGCGATATATATAGGTGTGAGAAACCAAATGCACTGAATGAATTTTTTTTCCAAAGATAATTTGGTGGCAATATATTTTAAATATGTTTTCTGGCATATGAGTGCCGCGGCTGGCTCGGGTGTAGTCCAATCTGGACGTCCAATTTTCAATGACTTTTTCCAAAACTTGTGTCCGTATATGGCAGTTTTGTTTGTTGACGTAGCCATTCACCCAGAAGTGTGCTTTATCGCTAAAAGAAATTCACTTATCAAAATAGGAATTAATGGCAATTTCGTTTTGGTCCCATTCGGAAATCTACGCCTTGACGGATGACTGTTTGGCTTTAATTCTTGCAGGAGTTGGATTGTGTAAGCACACAATCCAAGACCCTTCCGTAAAATCTTCCATAAAGGCGTGAGTCTATTCATGATGAATTGACAAGACAAACTGAGAATAAATCACTTGACAGTTGTTAAATCGGTCGCCATTTTGAACAGTAATGCTAACTTAAAGTTCTGTACCTCTAAAAAAACACCCTATATAATTCGGAGCCCAGTGTATCTCAACGGTTGCCGGATCTTTATTAAAAGATGTAAGTTATGAGACCTCACCTAAGCATTGTCGTCACCGTCAGTTATTAAACTTACTTTTTTTCTGCCAAAACGTAGCGCTAGTAATACTGCCATGTTGAGGTGAAAGCAGTCATTCAACGGACTTAAGCAAAACCATAATCTAGTACTAATTAATCACAACACTATGTGTGTTAATCTAAATAAATGGCCCCAACGTGATTTGAACATACAATGAATCCTTTAATTTTCCGAAAATACAGCAAGCATCTCTGGTTTTGTGAACGCTAATTCTTGATGACAACGCCAATTTTAACAGGTCCGGTGAACCGCAACACCATTTATACCAGCTCCAAGACGATGCTATGTCAGTAGCTTGTTCTTTTGAAATAGTGGCACGAGTGGTTCGTCTTCGTGATTAGGCCAGGTAGAGCAATAGTTCCATTTGGAGGTGGATCTTCTTGTCTTCTCGTCGGTTCTTGCCACCTTTATCCGTATTTTTTGTGAACATATTCGAAAAGTTAATATAACGCCAGCTTCACAGCACAGAACACAAAAGATGTCCCATCCTAAAGGAATAGACAACTGCTCAGACGTATTCATCCGCACCGATGACCTGAAGCAGCTTTTGGAGTACATATGTAGCAACAATCGCCGAGTATAAATTTTAGACGTCAAAGATAAAGAAATATTAGTGTCTGTGGACAGAATAAAACCGGAATTCATACTAAGAAGTTCTAACAGTGCCTGTGTGCCGCCTCTAAGCTTAAATATAATTTAGTATAAATCTAAATCAATAAAAAACCATAAGCGATAATGTACGAGTAACCCATAACGGTTACTACATTGTTGTGGCGGTCTAGACTAAGACGCCACGCAGCGGATCTGAGCAAAACGAAAATCGGTCCTCAAGACCGGCTGGTAAGATTAACTATGATGGTGTGGCTGCTAGGCCTTAAACATAAACAAATCAAACGTCTACTGAATTGGATTTTGATTTGGTCTCTTGATTCCCATTGGCTTCAGTTTTACTTTTTCAAGCCATTGTGTCATTTTCTTATAATGGCGCAGGCTCAGATCCAAAAATATTTTGTATCAATTTGTATATAAAGGTAATGGATTCAGATTTGCCGTGCTTGGTGATCTCATAGAAAAAGAAAAACAGCCCCATGCAGCCTCAAAAGCTGTAATTTATATTAGGGAACATAACAGCTATGACTTAATATGAAAGTTCCAGCAGCAGGTTGGGCCCAACCACTTCTGCATTACAATTATTAAAAAAGGAAACGTCTAAACAACAAAACAGCTAGTCAACAAAGAAGAACATTTCCACTATGTTACGAAATTCCTAGAAAGTGTGTATGTAAATTACTACATCCATTAGCTTAATGAAGCAAGGGGATTCAAGTAGTTATAAAAGGAATAGAGCCATCCGTCCCGGTAGCTGTCATTGCGGAAGGTCTGAAGGAACAGGGTTTCGTGGTCAAACTTGTTACGAACATGTTTAACAGGGCAAAAATTTCACTATCTAACATTTTATTTCCTATCTCGAGAAACACACGCTTAAATAGGCAGATGTAGTCGTTACTTCAGGAAAAGACCCGATACCGTAGAGAATGACCAGTCCACCGGTCTCCGGGTCACAGAAAAAGACTTAATTCAGCTTTCCGTCAACTCGTCTACATAGAAACACTTTCTCCTACCTGCAACAAATTTCAGCTTTAAAGAGCTCACGCAGACCTAGAGCCAAAAGTAGAACACGATCTTCCTTTAAGATCCCAAGCAAGTGTATTGGCGCGCAAAAGGGTAAGAAGAAAAGGATAAAATCTTTGTCTCTCACCTAGATTTCGTCCCAAGCCTATAACACTCTTCCCCGATAATCTTTCAAAAATTAACAATTTTAAACGAAATTTAAATAGCTGAGCCTTAAAAACAGTCCTGGTCATGACTTCATTTTTCACAAGATGTTCATTGAATTAACTAAATGTATTATAGGCGTTTCTACGATACTTAATTTAATATTATACACCTTCAACAATGAAAAGTCAGTCATAAATATGATTCCTAAGCCTGCCTTGCCTATTAAAGTTATTGAGCAGGTAAACCGTAAACATCTTAAATGCGGACTACGTAATTTTAGACGTATCCCAAGCGTTTGACCCCGTTTAGATCGACGTCAAGGCTTTAAAAATCAAGATCTTCCTGCTACACTCAAAATGTGCTTAGTTCGTACCAAACACTCTACAATTCACTGTAAAATGTAAAAACTGTGCAAGTGACGAATACAGCATTGAAGCTGGTTTTCCCTAAGAAAGCAACCGAACTCTTACATCCTGTACACACGAAATGGTTATATCGACCTTCGCTAACGATACTGTAATTGTCTGTTTGTAAAAAACTCATAGAAGCAATAAACCTGCATAAAACTTATGATCAGCAGTTTGCATTTGCTAATTAGCTCCCGTTCGCCCTTTTAACTAGACTATGAAGTACTAAACCAATTTGAAACTACATTGCGAACATTGGCCCACGCAAGTAGCAGCAACATAGACATCACCCAACGTTTGCAATAGAAAATTCTGAGAACAATCACTTATCTGTACATAAAACACGTAATGGAAGAAATTGGGAGCAAAAAATGAACCATACAAGAAGATTAATATCACGTCCAAACCTACTAGCGAGACAGCTCAACAGGTTCAGCGGTCATACCCGACTACAGCGATACGAGCTTCTCGCCGGCCCCACCTTGACCATTGATACAATTAAAATACCATTCTCAAGTTAAGATTTTAATACTTAGTGTTTCTTAAGCATGTAGAATACATCCAATAAATAAATTAATTTTAAAAAAACCTAAAGCGCTTATATTATTAACCTAACGTGTGAACATTTTATTGTCCACGAGTTGGAACTTACTTCTGTTTAAATGAGAACTTTGATCGCATATAACATTTAGCTCGAGCGGAAGTTCAGTTGTCAGAATACATCGTTGTGGTACATAATCTGACAGACGATTGAGGTGGCAGATAGTTTTCCTCTTATTATTTATTATAATATTTAACGATGTAATTTTGTTTTAAATTATTCATTATTCGTATTCGTATTCATCGTATCATTAGGCCTTTTAGTTGTTTGCTCCTAACTTACTAATTAACTACTCACAGGCTGCTGTAAAATATTAAGGTACATTTTTGTTAAAGAAAATTAGTTTAATTTAATTTAAAATATTTTTAATATACCATTTTTTTGAATTTCAAAATAAAATTTTGCTTGAAAAAATTTAACAATTTGACAAGCGCCACTTTTTGTCAGAAAAAAACATGTTTTATTACTGCCAGTAACGTCTTTGCACATTTGCAGCATGAACTACATGTATTTATAAAACCGGCAACCGTTGTGATGGTCCGAAGTATATAAATGCTTAATCCCAACTTTGTAGCTTGCTGTGACCTTCACAACACGAAATAATGACCACAAAATGAAGAAGATTCTATTCTAAAAAAGTTTATTAATTGTGACGGGAAAAACACACTACCAATTACAAAGGGCTCAAGCAGCCAAAACTTTACATATGATGATAACAACATAGAAGCTGGCGTACCCCTAGGAAGCGTACAAGGGCCAATCTTTTATATTTTTTACTAATCGGACATTCCCACACAACTAAACGGTTATATTTACCTTTGTTAAAAGCAAATATAAAAATAAAATCGTGTATGTGGAGAAAAGTAGTTAGTCCAGGCCATTTACCTGTGGTCAACATATAGAAGCAAAGTATACCTGCCTGAAGGCCAGTAGTTTCTATTGGTTCACTAATTTCCGTAAACATTAGAGGGGGCTTGGCACCGTTTAAAGTCTTTAAGCCTCGAACAAGAGAATCAAAAAATTAAAAGTTTCTTCAGTAAATGACTTTTAAATCGAACTTACAAATCAGTCTAATTCCTCCTATGGGCTTTCTTCAAAAAGGATATATAATAGCTAGAGTGGAACGTTAATTGCGCCGGAGTTTTATTGTGTAACCACTAATATCACTGTGGTAGAGTGGAGTGAGGTCGTTTTATATGGAATATTCATTGAAATTCCCAATCATAACTATAAATCTAACACCCATATATGTTTAATGTTATTAATGTCTCTAGTATTTGAATATGTAGTGCAACTAGACTATCTATATCTATAATTTTGCTTTTAATAATAATTTATGTTATTTTTAAAATTCTTTCTATACTTACGCGCCCAGCACTGTGTAGTATTCCAAAGTAAAATGATAGTAGCATATTCTTGGAGGCTCGTTTTCGCGACAAGCACGTGCGCATTCATCAGGAGCAGATAGTGCTGGATTTCGACGAAGCTCGGCAGTTGCACTAGTAGAGAAATCTAAGTGACGAAATGGAGACTTCGGATTATGTTCAACCACTGTACCAGTGATTTTATTAGCGGGATAACGAGCCGAAATGGGTAGACTTCCACGAGAATTCAGGTATCCGCTTCCTGCGGTTAAGGTTGGATTACTACCAACTACGTTTGACACTTGAGCCCCAACGGTATTCCTATCTACTGAAGCAGAGACGGAATGGATCACATTTTTAGAGGGGTGTGTCTGCAAAAGGCCATGTGTTGCCGAATAAAAAGGCGAATCGAATGGAGTTGAACTGCTAGTAGAAGAGGCCACACGTTGCTGCCAGAAAGATCCCGATGGTAAAAGATCCGAAAGATTTTCTGTACAATATTGAAGCATAAATAAAAAAAGTAGTTAAACAAAAAATTTTTAAATTATTGTGAAGAATACATTATAAAATATGCAAACATGTATGTTTTCCATGTAAAGCGCGTTTTTATTTTAAATTGTCGAAAAATTTCATAGCTGTGCTACTTTCTAATCGCTTAAGACCACCAAACTGAAGCAAGGATTTTATCTTCTAGAAGCTCAAAGATCAAATAGCACAAACCACGGATTATTTGTCCAATTGACTAATAGGTACCTTCAGAGGTAAGGGATAAAGCCTCAAAAAATTTGACAAAAATTTGTCTCAACGTCGAAATCATAGACAGATAGACAAATAGATAAATAGACAGATAGACAGACAGACATATAGAGAGATACATAGATAGACAAATAGACATATAGACAGATAGAAATAAAGAAGATAAACAGACATATCAAGAAAAAGATAGACAAACAGATAGACAGATAGTCAGAAAGATAGACAGATAGACAGATAGAAAGAGAGACAGATAGACAGATAGACAGATAGAAAGATAGACAGATAGACAGATAGACAGATAGACAGATAGACAGATAGACAGATAGACAGATAGATAGACAGATAGACAGATAGACAGATAGACAGATAGACAGATAGACAGATAGACAGATAGACAGATAGACAGATAGACAGATAGACAGATAGACAGATAGACAGATAGACAGATAGACAGATAGACAGATAGACAGATAGACAGATAGACAGATAGACAGATAGACAGATATACAGATAGACAGATAGACAGATAGACAGATAGACAGATAGACAGATAGACAGATAGACAGATAGACAGATAGACAAGATAGACAGATAGACAGATAGACAGATAGACAGATAGACAGATAGACAGATAGACAGATAGACAGATAGACAGATAGACAGATAGACAGATAAAAGAGATAGATAGATAGACAGATAGACAGCTGGACAGATAGATAGACAGATAAACAGATAGACAGATAAACAGATAGACAGATAGACAGATAGACAGATAGACAGATAGACAGATAGACAGATAGACAGATAGACAGATAGACAGATAGACAGATAGACAGATAGACAGATAGACAGATAGACAGATAGACAAATAGACATATATAGACAGATAGACAGATAGACAGATAGACAGATAGACAGATAGACAGATAGACAGATAGACAGATAGACAGATAGACAGATAGACAGATAGACAGATAGACAGATAGACAAAATAGACAGATAGACAGATAGACAGATAGACAGATAGACAGATAGACAGATAGACAGATAGACAGATAGACAGATAGACGGATAGACAGATTGACAGATTGACAGATAGACAGATAGACAGATAGACAGATAGACAGATAGACAGATAGACAGATAGACAGATAGACAGATAGACAGATAAACAGATAGACAGATAGACAGATAGACAGATAGACAGATAGACAGATAGACAGATAGACAGATAGACAGATAGACAGATAGACAGATAGACAGATAGACAGATAGACAGATAGACAGATAGACAGATAGACAGATAGACAGATAGACAGATAGACAGATAGACAGATAGACAGATAGACAGATAGACAGATAGACAGATAGACAGATAGACAGATAGACAGATAGACAGATAGACAGATAGACAGAAAGATAGATAGACAGATAGACAGATAGACAGATAGACAGATAGACAGATAGACAGATAGACAGATAGACAGATAGACAGATAGACAGATAGACAGATAGACAGATAGACAGATAGAAACAGATAGACAGATAGAAAGATAGACAGATAGACAGATAGACAGATAGACAGATAGACAGATAGACAGATAGACAGATAGACAGATAGACAGATAGAATAGACAGATAGACAGATAGACAGATAGACAGATAGACAGATAGACAGATAGACAGATAGACAGATAGACAGATAGACAGAATGATAGACAGATAGATAAACAGATAGACAGATAGACAGATAGACAGATAGACAGATAGACAGATAGACAGATAGACAGATAGACAGATAGACAGCTAGACAGATAGACAGATAGACAGATAGACAGATAGACAGATAGACAGATAGACAGATAGACAGATAGGAACAGATAGACAGATAGACAGATAGACAGATAGACAGATAGACAGATAGACAGATAGACAAATGAACAGATAGACAGATAGACAGAATAACAGATAGACAGATAGACAGATAGACAGATAGACAGATAGACAGATAGACAGATAGACAGATAGACAAATAGACAGATAGACAGATAGACAGATAGACAGATAGACAGATAGAAAGATAGACAGATAGACAGATAGACAGATAGACAGATAGACAGACAGATAGACAGATGAACCGATAGAAGATAGACAGATAAAGAGACAGATAGACAGATAGACAGATAGACAGATGAACAGATAGACAGATAGACAGATGGACAGATAGACAGATGGACAGATAACAAGATGACAGATAGACAGATGAACGAATGAACAGATAGACAGATAGACAGACAGATAGACAGATAGACAGATAGACAGATAGACAGATAGACAGATAGACAGATGAAAGACAGATAGACAGATAGACAGATAGACAGATAGACAGATAGACAGAATGAGCAGATAGACAGATAGACAGATAGACAGATAGACGGATAGACAGATAGACAAAGATAGACAGATAGACAGATAGACAGATAGACAGATAGACAGATAGACAGATAGACAGATAGACAGATAGACAGATAAGACAGATAGACAGATAGACAGATAGACAGATAGACAGATAGACAGATAGACAGATAGACAGATAGACAGATAGACAGATAGACAGATAGACAGATAGACAGATAGACAGATAGACAGATAGACAGATAGACAGATAGACAGATAGATAGACAGATAGACAGATAGACAGATAGACAGATAGACAGATAGACAGATAGACAGATAGACAGATAGATACAGATAGACAGATAGACAGATAGACAGATAGACAGATAGACAGATAGACAGATAGACAGATAGACAGATAGACAGATAGACAGATAGACAGATAGACAGATAGACAGATAGACAGATAGACAGATAGACAGATAGACAGATAGACAGATAGACAGATAGACAGATAGACAGATAGACAGATAGACAGATAGACAGATAGACAGATAGACAGATAGACAGATAGACAGATAGACAGATAGACAGATAGACAGATAGACAGATAGACAGATAGACAGATAGACAGATAGACAGATAGACAGATAGACAGATAGACAGATAGACAGATAGACAGATAGACAGATAGACAGATAGACAGATAGACAGATAGACAGATAGACAGATAGACAGATATAGACAGATAGACAGATAGACAGATAGACAGATAGACAGATAGAAGACAGATAGACAGATAGACAGATAGACAGATAGACAGATAGACAGATAGACAGATAGACAGATGAGACAGATGAGACAGATAGACAGATAGACAGATGGACAGATAGACAGATAGACAGATAGACAGATAGACAGATAGACAGATAGACAGATAGACAGATAGACAGAAAGACAGATAGACAGATAGACAGATAGACAGATAGACAGATAGACAGATAGACAGATAGACAGATAGACAGATAGACAGATAGACAGATAGACAGATAGACAGATAGACAGATAGACAGATAGACGAATAGACAGATAGACAGATAGACAGATAGACAGATAGACAAACGATAGACAGATGAACAGATAGACAGATAGACAGATAGACAAGATAGACAGATAGACAGATAGAACAGATAGACAGATAGACAGATAGACAGATGAAGACAGATAGACAGATAGACAGATAGACAGATAGACAGATGGACAGAGAGACAGATAGACAGATAAACAGATAGACAGATAGACAGATAGACAGATAGACAGATAGACAGATAGACAGATAGACAGATAGACAAGATAGACAGATAGACAGATAGACAGATAGACAGATGGAATGAACACAGATAGACAGATAGACAGATAGACAGATAGACAGATAGACAGATAGACAGATGAAGACAGATGACAGATAGACAGATAGACAGATAGACAGATAGACAGATAGACAGATAGACAGATAGACAGATAGACAGATAGACAGATGAGAGACAGATAGACAGATAGACAGATAGACAGATAGACAGATAGACAGATAGACAGATAGACAGATAGACAGATAGACAGATAGACAGATAGACAGATAGACAGATAGACAGATAGACAGATAGACAGATAGACAGATAGACAGATAGACAGATAGACAGATAGACAGATAGACAGATAGACAGATAGACAGATAGACAGATAGAAACAGATAGACAGATAAACAGATAGACAGATAGACAGATAGACAGATAGACAGATAGACAGATAGACAGATAGACAGATAGACAGATAGACAGATGGAGAATGACAGATAGACAGATAGACAGATAGACAGATAGACAGATAGACAGATAGACAGATAGACAGATAGACAGATAGACAGATAGACAGATGAACATAGACAGATAGACAGATAGACAGATAGACAGATGGACAGATAGACAGATAGACAGATAGACAAGATGAACAGATAGACAGATAGACAGATAGACGAATGACAGATAGACAGATAGACAGATGACAGATAGACAGATAGACAGATAGACAGATAGACACAGATAGACAGATAGACAGATAGACAGATAGACAGATAGACAGATGAACAGATAGACAGATAGACAGATAGACAGATAGACAGATAGACAGATAGACAGATAGACAGATAGACAGATAGAAAGATAGACAGATAGACAGATAGACAGATAGACAGATAGACAGATAGACAGATAAGACAGATGAACGAAGATAGACAAGACAGATGAACGAATGAACAGATAGACAGATAGACAGATAG